TACTCATCTCTCACTTTATCATAACATAAGACCAACTAGACCTAATGCCTGACTCAAAATGGACATCGACCTACTCTACACAGCCACGAAAGGCTCCAAACCCCGAGAAAAAAACAGTTACCAGACCACCGAATAAGACAACATCTAACCTCAACTCATCCTTTAAAGGACACACAAAATCCCAATTCTATACATCTCCTTCAGACCAAACACTCGCTATCTAACATGTAGCTACACCATCACATAACCGCACCAACAACTACTAATCGCACAACAATCATTACACTTAATAACCTCAAGATGACTACACAATGAATCTCCCAATGACTGCATAAACATTAGGCATCAAATCAGTAAAGTGCACTATCCTGTACCCAGACAAAAATCCTCAAAATAAGATCTTTAATAATTAAACAGATTGGACACTTGGTCCTACTTAACACACCTCGTCACCCAAGACAACTTCCTCAATCCACACCACTACACCGTCACAACTCCCAGTACCATTCTCTCACAATTCGTGACAACTTGAAACAATCATTGACCTTTGACCCGACATCGTGCTAAAGAGGGATTGATTCAAGATAAATGGTTGGTCAGACCATCCTCATCCTCGATCCTGTCTCAACACAGACGTCGTTCCTGTCCTCAGGTCCAAACCTCAAATACAGTCTCACACAGTCCACAAAACAACTATTAGATCCACTCATTATCCATCCATCGCTATACGTAACCTCAATGACTATGCAGTTACATACCATTTCTAAGAATCTCAATAATTCTTCAATTGTACAACTCGTAACAAGCTAAAAATGACATAGACCAAACGTCATACTCATCAACCAACACAAAAGATCTTTAATTTCTTCATAACACCCATACCAGGTAAACAACTCATAACATTACTCGATTCAATTCTTACTTCTTCAAAACACATAATACGACCGTCTTATGCCTGAAACCTCAAAACCAAAGTCAATCATTCCTATTATTCTTCAACGGAATTCCATAACCACTCTCTAGCTGCATAACATTCAAATAATATCAACACCTATCCTCAAAGTACTGCTCAAATCAGACATCAATAAAAACACCCGAGACATGACTCACATCAGATCACCTAGTTATCCTCAAGCTCACAGTCCACATCACACCCTTAGCCATCACCACTAGTACCAAACACCGGAAACACAACCCCTATTCGGCAACCCATGCATCATATTCCACCAGTCAAAACCACTCTCAGAACAAGCACTACAAAAACCAAAGACTCCACCTCCCTCCATGGGAGTGAGTCGACCCATTCAACCAGGACCTCTACTGATGAACTCTAACAGCGCAACAAACTCTTACAAAGAAGCCAGAATTCAAGCGGGAACTTTAATGAATTAACACTTATATTGCATGTTTAAATTTGATGTACCCTGTCTATTTAATTTGGATGCAACCTGCATGTCTACACATTTACTAGAGAGTAATAGACCCCTTTAAGATTTTAGAAGATCATTCACAAGCTGGGTGGTGTAACACAATTACCCGCGTTGAAGCCCTATGATAAATGTGGGGACGATAATGATTTTATTTTTCGAGAAACACATTGTACCCTGAGAAATTATTAGATGGTCCTGGTCTATTTGACACTTGGTGGACTAATTCAATAAAAACCCTCCGATCATGAAACTTTGTAATTCATTAATACACTCTTGTGGGGCCATTTTCTTAATCCGAGAGTCTGTATTTAACTGGTCCACCAAGTGTTGATGGTCCAAAACCATCTAATAATTTCTCAAACTTTGAAAATCACTCACAAGTTTGGTGGCGTAACATAATCGTCCACTTCCATCCTTAACATAAATTACCATTTTCGTATAACATAATTTTTGGGATTTAACTTTATGCATCATTGATGCATTAAAAAAATTTGGGGTTTAATTAGAAAATTCAGTTGAAAGAAACTGATATAAATTTTCACCTAAAAAAAAAAAAAATTAATATAATTGTTGATATATTATTTGCATGTGGGAATTCTGAAGTGCTACGTAATTAATTTAGAATTGTTAAATCTTATAAACGAAGTGAGAAAAAGAAATTATAATACTGTAATGTCGCATTTGGTGTGCAGGAATGGAATGTTCATTTCAACAATTTCTTTATTTGGTATTTAATTTAAAGTGGAATGGACATTCCATTGGAATGAAAATTTATTCCACAACTACACGTGTGGAATGGTCATTTCATTCCCAATTAAATTTTTTTAAAAAATTAAATTTTCAAAAAAAACAAGTACAAAAATCACCACCACCACAATTGCCGCCACCATGACTACCACCATGATTACCTTCCGCCGCTACCGCTACCACCATCATTGTCTTCCACCACTACAACCGCCACCGCCACCACCACCACCACCACTTCCTTCCACCACCACCTCCTTCCACAATTCCACCACAACCACCACCGCATCCAACCACCACCACCACCTCCATTACCTTCCACTACCATCATTGCCATTGCCATCATTGTTGTCGTCTTCAACCAACATACCACCGTAGTGTCCACTGCCTTCCACCACTACCACATTCGACCATCGCCACCTCCATTACCTTCCACCACTATCACCTTTGACCATCGCCACCTCCATTACCTTCCACCACTGTATATTGCCACCATCACCGTCACTATTACCGTCACCACTACCTTCACCATCTCCACCACCTTCTGACTACACCACTACCACCTTCCACCACCGTCACCACCACTGTCGTCGCCTTCTACCACTACGGCCACAACTTCCACGACCTCCACTACCACTATCATTACCTTCCACCACAGCCATTGTTTTTTACCACCACCACCATCATCACCTCCACTACCTTCCACCACCACACCTACACTGCTGCCACCTTCTATAACCACCACACCACTGTCACCTCCATTACCTTCCATCGTCATCACCTACACCATGGACGACACTTTCCTCCACTACCACCACCACCACTAGCATCACTTCCACTGCCTTCCATCACCACACCTACACTACTATTGCCTAGGGGTGGCAATTAGTATTCGTGTTGTGTCAATGTAAAGGTATTACACTAAATAGGTAAACCCAAACCTAACCCATATAATAATCGTATTAACCCTCAACACTAACTCGACCTATTTATTAAATGGATAAACGTGTTAACCCATTTAATAAGCTGCATGTTTATCAAAACGAGACATTTAATATTTAATCAAATAATAAATAATAGAAAATTTTTGTCACAATTAACCCAAATATTCAAAATAAGAAGAAAATTCATAAGGCGTAGACAAGGTTTATGTTGAAATATCCACAATAATTGAGTTTAAACAGGTAACATATTACATAAGTCATAGTCATGATTACATGTTGAGTTACACGGGTTGAACTCCTTAACCCTAACCCGACACGGTTAAGTAAACGAATTAATCGTGTCAATCCATTTATGACCCGAACCCATTTAAAGTCAACCCAAACTCGTTTTATTTTGTGTCGTGTTCGAGTCGTATTGACGGGTCGTGTTGTAATTTATCATCCCTACGAGTGCCGCCTTCCACCACCACCATACCACTGCCACCTCTATTGCCTTCCACCATCATCATGTACACCATGAACGTCTTCCTCCACTACCACTGGTTTCCATCAACACCGCTATCGCCTTCCACCACGTACCACTACCGCCGCCGCCTTCCACCATTGCTACCACCGCCACCAAAACCACTACCACTTTCTGCCTCCACCACCATCGTCACCGCCATCTACCAACGTCATCATTTCTTTAAAAAAAAAAAATTATAGAAGAATATTATTCTTTTAATGTAATTTATTTAATTATCAATAGTAGAGGTATTTTGGATAATTCAATTTGAAATTCATTCATTTCTAAATTTTAAATTAATCCAACCAAACAATATAATATTTTTTATCCATTTTTACGCATTTGATATTTGCATCTAAACAATAAAATGAGAATAGACATTCCATTCCATTCCCACTTTCATTCCATTTTGGTAACATAAAAAAAAAAAATAAAAAGGTTGATGCTAAATGATTAATGAAAAATCTGTATTTACAAAAAATAGACATATATAATCAAGGTGTTAAGTTCTTTCTCTCATCTCTTATTAATTTGATTATAATGTCGCAAAGTATTCACCTAGAGCTAGCCTATATATATATATATTATGGTCTTATCATTATTTTACATAATCTTTTTAGTTTTTTATCTAAAAAGTTTAGAAAATAGTTTTGATTATTATTGTTAACATATTATTTATATTTACATTTCTTAAACGCGCTTATTACTTGTACTTGGTCCACGGGATCCGGAAGGAATTCAGAAAATTGTTAAGTCGTCTCTCCTAATTTACTCTACTAAATTCAAATATAAGAGAATCATCAAGTCCAAAATGGAGGGTCCCTGTTGACTAAAGAAGCACTTGTTTTTGAAAAAGGGAACAAAAAAAAGTGTTTCCTAATTAATAACTAATTTATTAGAGAGTAAAAAACGTTGGCGGACTCAATATGGAAGTCTTCGGTGGGCATGCAAAGTAGAAGTATTATTAATTATGTGGCGCATCTCTATTACCTCAGCATCTGCGTGAAGCTTCTCTCCATTGATTTCGTGAATAAACTTATAAAAGACATCTCTATGTTCTCTTTATCAATGCATATCTTCTTCTTCAAGAACACCATGGCTAACCCTACTACTTTTCTTAGTCTTGTTGTTTTTGTGGTAGTGTGGTTGTTGGGGAGTAATAATCGTATGATTAAACTGTGTCACTTGAGAGAGAGTCCAAAATGGAGGGTGTCCACAAAATTCAAATATAAGAGAATCGTTTAGTCCAAAATGGAGGGTCCCGCTATTGACCTTGTTTTGAAAACCGGAACAAAAAAACAATGTTTCCTAATTAATAACTAATTTAATAGAGAGTAAAAAGAGTTGGTGGACTCAATATGGAAGTCTCTGGTGGTCATGCATAGTAGTAGTAGTATTAATTATGTGGGGCATCTCTATTACCTCACCATCTGCTTGAAGCTTCTCTCCATTGATTTCGTGAATAAACTTATAAAAGACATCTCTATGTTCTCTTTATCATTGCATATCTTCTTCTTCAAGAACACCATGGCTAACCCTACTACTTTTCTTAGTCTTCTTGTTTTTGTGGTAGTGTGGTTGTTGGGAATGCACTTCTCACCTTCAAGCAAGGTCTCAAAGATCCTTCTGGTAGACTTTCTTCTTGGAAGGGTGATGATTGCTGTCGATGGAGTGGCGTCCGATGCAACAACATATCAAGACACGTCGTGAAGCTCCACCTCAGAAATCCAATTTCAGTTCCCATAATCAAGGATTTTGCCTTACTGTGGGGAGATGGAGCTATTGATTCAATGGAGTACGATCAACAGATGGCCTACGAATCACTTTACACAAGCTCGCGTTTGGGAGGTAAGATAAGTTCTTCTTTGCTTCACTTGACATATTTGAATTCTTTGGACCTGAGCTCCAATGATTTTAAAGGAATTCGAATTCCTAAATTCTTGGGTATGCTGAAGAACTTGAGATATCTGAATCTCTCTTCTTCGTTGTTTTTCGGAGAGATTCCACCTCATCTCGGAAACCTATCCAGCCTAATTTATCTTGATCTCAGTCGTAATTCAGTTGTCTCTGGAAATTTGAAATGGCTCTCACGCCTCTCTTCTTTGAAATACCTTAACTTGGGAGAAGTGGAAGTCAGTGACACTAATTGGCTGCAATCAATTAATATGCTTCCTAACCTTGTGGAGTTACACTTGTCTGGTTGTTATCTACCGAGCCTTCCACTCTCACTCCCATTTGTTAACTCAACTTTGCTTTCAGTCCTTGATATCTCTGGTGGTCTTGGGCTTTACTCAATGCCAAATTGGTTGTTCAATCTCACGAGCCTCACAGAATTTTATCTCAGTGATAATTTCTTTGGGGATCCCATTCCGAGCGAATTCGTGAAGTTGAAGTCTTTGGAATCCCTTGATTTGTCTTATAATAACTTTAAAGGTCAACTACCAATATTTTTGGGAAATCTTTGCAAGCTTAAAGTTCTAGACCTTTCTGACAACAATTTCACGGGTGAGGTGGTTGAGTTTTTTGGTGGGTTCTTGGGCTGTCCAACCAATAGCCTAGTGTCACTAAATTTAGAGTACAACTCTTTAGAAGGTGAACTACCCAAGTCAATAGGAATGCTTAAGAATCTTCAACATCTCTACCTCTTCAATAACTCTTTCTCGGGTTCGTAGCCAAAATCGATTGGAAATTTGTCGTCGTTACTAGAATTGGACCTCTCATTCAACAGGATGAATGGAACCATTCCCGAGAGCTTTGGACAACTCTCAAAACTCATACGCCTAAATCTCAATGAAAATTCGTGGGAAGGTGTTGTAACAGAAGCCCACCTGATGAATCTCAAGAGTCTAGAATATTTGAAAATTTTCACAGCGGACAAAGTCATGCCGTTGGTTTTCAATGTGACACACGAATGGGTACCCCCTTTCAAGCTCAAATATCTTAAATTAAAAAATTTCCTAGTGGGCCCTAGGTTTTCAATGTGGCTTCAAGTTCAAAGTGAACTCACTTATGTGTCCCTTGGAAATGTTGGAGTTGCAGACACCATACCCGAGGAATGGTTTTCGAAGATATCTCATCGACTCACCTATTTGGATCTGTCTAACAACCGGATCAAAGGGAGGCTCCCATACCATTTAGAATCTCCAAAATTGTTGTGGATTGACTTGAGTAATAACAGTTTTCATGGTTATCTCCCATTATGGTCCACCAATGCATCCATTTTTTTGCTTGAAAACAACTTATTTTCAGGGCCGATTCCATCAAATATTGGTGAATTGATGCCACAATTGGAATATTTGTATCTACATGAGAATCATCTCAATGGTACAATTCCATCATCAATATGTACATTAGAGAATTTGCAATTTCTTTCCCTTCGGACCAATCAACTATTTGGGGAGCTCCCTCAGTGTTGGAATAAATTGCAAAAGTTATTCTCCTTAGATGTGTCCAACAATAGTCTTTCAGGTAAAATTCCGAACTCAATTGGTTCCCTAAGTTCTCTTGTTTTATTATTGTTGAGTAGCAACAATCTAGATGGGGAAATTCCTCCATCCTTGTGGAACTGCACAATGATGACGACCGTTGATCTTGGAGGAAATAATTTGTCGGGAAAATTACCATCATGGATAGGAGGAAATGGCATTGCATTAAAAATTCTACGGCTACGATCTAATTCATTCAATGGGAACATTCCTCGACAATGGTGCAATCTAAAAGAACTTCATGTCCTAGATCTTGCACACAACAATCTTTCGGGGGCCATTCCCAGTTGCTTGAAAAATTTGACAGCTCTAGTTTATGGTAGCAACAGTTCAGCAAACTTCACCAATGAGAAGCAAATAATTGTGGTGGCCAAAGGACGTGAACTCAAATACGGTTGGACTATTCAATTCATAAATAATATTGATCTTTCAGCGAATAAGCTAGTTGGTGAAATTCCTAAAGAGATCACAAGCCTCACTGCACTTAATACCTTATATTTTTCAATGAATTGTCTGTTTGGACACATTCCGGACAACATTGGAAATTTGCGATGGTTGGAAACTTTAGTTGTTTCAAGCAACAATCTCTCGGGACCGATTCCTCAAAGTTTGTCGTCATTAACATCTTTGGCTCATTTGAACCTCTCTCACAACAACTTGATAGGAAAAATACCTTCTGGATATCAGCTTCAAACACTCGACGATCCATCCATTTATGAAGGTAACCCTTTACTTTGTGGACTCCCTCTTCGAACCAAGTGCCAAGGTGATGATGCATCTAATGCTCTTCCTGCTGGCAATGACGATGATGATGAAAATGAAGTTGAAATGGTATGGTTCTATGGAAGCATGGGGCTTGGATTTGTGGTAGGATTTTGGGTTTTTTTTGGTACCTTATTGATAAAGAAGTCGTGGAGGCATGCTTATATTCAATTCTTGGAGAACATGATCGAAAGGATAGCTCTTATGATTGAATTGAGTGTGGCTCGTTTGCAAAGAAGATGGGATCAGTGAAAATTTAATCTTGTTGATATCGAGGTGGTCTGTAATCTGGAGTACGTATTTGTTTCAAGACAATTATGGTAACTCAGGGTGTATCGAAGAATATGCATGTGTGTTTAGGCACAGGCAAGTTCCAAGCTATGTGATGTATTTGCAATGTCATTTAATTTTTTCTCTTGCTTTTTCTATTATGGAGATCGTGTGTAAGCGTGTGTGCAATGATATATTATCATGTATAATTCCAATACATTACAATTTCCATTATTGCCACCCCACCCCCAATGGCCATGGTGTGTTCTAATTTACAAATCTTTGTCACAATACTTAAATGAAACTGAATAGAAATAGATATCAATTTTTTCCTCGAAAATAGGAAAATAGAAAGTTGAGCTTTGTAAGAGCATCTCCAACAATATGTTAAAATACTTTTTTGTGTAAAATATAAACTGTCACCTATGATGTGTAAAATTTTTCCATCTCTAGTAGTCTTTTAATATACATTGCCACATCACCAATGTGTAAAAGGGTGTATTTTACATAACCTTTTTATACTGCCAGATCAATATATTTCCTTTCTCATCTCTCTTTTTCATTTCATTAAAGAATCAACCATATATTAAGTAAGTTTGTAAAAGTTATGTTGGGTTGACTAGTAATTATTGGCAGATATATTTTTACACAAAAGGTATAAAACAACAGTTGGAACTCAAATTAAATAATTCAAATTTTTTGTATAAATCCATCATGACACATTAGATTTACACAAAAAAAAATATATACACAACGGTTGGAGATATTCTAACACACATGCACCAAAAAACCCTTTTCAATGATTCAGTTGAGGAACACACCCATATCTTTATAGAGGCTTCCAACACCCGACCTCCTCTTTGAAAAAGAGGGCTTGTGTGATACCCCTAATTTCGGAACACGGGTTGATTAAATCCGCGCACAAAATTAAGGGATATCAAAACAATTAAACCATATATATATATATATATACATATACATATATATACCTCATTCCATAATAAATTATTAATTAATTATATTATGCAAATAAATACAACTAAATAATGTAGTAGCATTAAGGCCCTCAAACACCTAAAATACCTCTTTTACTGAGTGATTTCAACATTAACATGCTGGAAATCAATTCTGGAACATCAACGGACTCCATAGTAACTTCTCGGGACCTCAAACACATCTGCACACGCCCCTACGCTTCGCCACACGCGCCTAGACATGATGTACGCGCTTCCACTCCTTAGCAAACGCGTCCACGCGCCTATTGTACTCGCGGCGTTTGATGGCTTGATCCTATTGGCCATCCCTGTGTGTTTTGGTGCGCTTGGCTGCACCAAATTATTTTAATGATGACTAGACATCTATGGTCCAGATCTAATGCGCACATAAAATCCCTAGAACCGCGACACACCGTATCATCCTACACCCATCAACTCCACCCAACAGCCCAGATCAGTGATTGCAACCCCTTCCCATGCTCACACCCCCACTGAATCATTCCATCATCCATCATCTTCATCCACGGCAGCTTCCGCACCCTCACTCCATGCGCCGCACCACACTGAATCCTCCTCTGATTATCAAGACCATCCTAAGGTCTTGATTTTGAGCACACTGTAACGCACCCCTTATTGGAGGGGCCAAATCCAAATTCCCCAGCGTTATATATATAAACAGTATATATACTATATATATATAATGTAATTTTCCAAACAATTAATAGAAAAATCAATCTAATTAATTCCAAAAAAATATAAAAAAATACCAGAAAATATAGAAACCCTAATTAATCCTCTTGGGTCACAAATTCACTTATATATTGATTTTAAAATATATATACAACACATAATATATATCAATTAAAAATCCAAAAATTCCAAACAATCAATTACAATAATTTATTCTTTTAATTAATCCGATCTAACCATAATTTTTAAACAAATAAATTTAATCTTAACATTGATACTCAAGGTGAAATCCTTATGAGTTCTAAGAGGAAAGTTAAAAAGAACTCGCCTGAAGGTTTCGAAACGAAACCGACGCTTCAAATTTTGATTGTCTCTTCTAAATCTGACATTCTCTTTCTCTGATCTGGTTTCCTCTTTGTTAGCCTTCTCCTCTTCTCTCTCTCTCTCTTATTTTTCTAACGTGTAAACTTTTAACCTTAAACCTTATGTGTATATTTATACACATTAAAATACAAATCCTATTCCAGCTATGACTATTAAATAAAATAGTAATTTTTAAATAATATATATATATAAACATATATTATATATATAAACATATTATATATATATATATATATATATATATATATATATATATATCAATGGTTAATTATGAAAGGTGTATATATATATATATAAAAGGAATAATTACATTGACCTCAGGTTTTGTTAATATACATTGACCTCCTCTCGTATTTGTCAAATAACACTGACCTCCCCTGCCAGAGCTTTTAGGTGAATGGTGTTAACGGTTCTATGAAATTACTTTTCTAGCCTTATTATATCTATATAGTCTTTATTACAAACACAATGAAAAGACAAAAAGCTCCTCTCTTTCACGTTTCTTTCTCTTCTCAGGAAACCCATTTCCAATTCCTTAATTTCCAAACACCCCCATTTATTTCTCTCTAATTTTCTTCCATACCCCATTTTCCATGGAAAAAGAACTCCAAGAATCCGAGGTGATTTTCCCGGAAAATGCAGAAACCAATAGCAACTTCTCAGTTCACTATTCGAATTCACGTGAACTGAGTAAGAACAAGCCGAATAGAAAGAAGAAGAAGAAGAAAATGAATTCAGTTCGGGTGAATATCCCCCAGACTTTTTGTGGAAATTCGTGGTTTCGGTGCGTGGAATCGGGCATCTTCCACGACCAGTTAATTCCACCTCACCTGATCCTCGGCCGGAGAATCGGCGCAGAAATGGCTTTCTCAGTTTACAAGGGAAATGGGAGGACTCAGAAAGGAAGGGGCTTGAGCGAAATGAGGAATTCAATTATGAGATGACTGGTTTCCTCGAAACGTGACACCAATAATTTGTTTGGTAATGGACACACAAACCAGCAAAGGAAAAGAAAATGTAACCAAAACAAAATTGGAATTTGAAATTAATGTTTTTTTTTTGGATGAACATATTTAGCTGTATATAATTATATGTATAGTTGTATTTTATTTTTATTTATTTATTCTTTTTCTTTTTTTTTTGTTTTAAATTTATAGTTTTGTTAATTGTTATTGTGGTGCAGCTTAATACAGGTTGGTGTTTTTGGGTACCATGTGTTATTGCTTACACTCTGTTTCTTCATATTCTGTTTGGATTCACAACATAATCAGCATGAACAGCTGGTTGCTAACTCATGTAATCACAAGCAACCATCTCACATTATTAATTTGAATTTTGACTTCTGCAAAACTGCACAGGAAATTTAGCACACATATACAGAATGAGAGAGATCAGAACAATTAGACATCAACTATTATTACCAATGCAAAAAATCTAGCACCAAGCTTACATACCAGTAATCTAGACTTCAACATTGACTTGGCCAACCTTGGTGCCGGAGTTTATGGAGGTTTTCCATCATCGGAAAATGTTCTCTGAGTTGTTCTCACTGATTTTGGTGATACGCTTTTAGGTTTTACTGCCACCGACATCAATGGAGACTTCTAGACAGTTCGCCGTCGTCGTGGGTGTGATTCAACAGGAACTGCAAGTTTGCAAGCTTAACCACCGGTAAGACGTTTTCCTTGCTGACTATCAGAGTTTTTGCGCGTCGTTCCTTGCCAAGCTAGCACTCACCGCCGTTCAGAGCACCGCAGTCCTCCAAACTTGCCGCATCTTCACCGCCGCTAGTCTTTGGTGCTCGCTCATGAGGAAGAGAGTGCAGAGAGAAAAATAGTGGAGAGAGAATCTGAGAGAGAGGAAAAATCCTTATGGGCTATTTTAGGTATTTCAATGGCTTTATTTACTTGGCTTTAGGGGTAGAATGGGAATTTGAAATTTAAAAATTGCTGACATCATCCTTTTATGTTAGTAAATTGTTTTCCGTTAAGGGAAGGAGGTCCATGTTAGCAGCATACATACCTCAAGGGAGGTCGATGTTATTTGACAAATAAGAGGGGATGTCAGTGTATATTGACAAAACTTTAGGGAAGGTCAGTGCAATTATCTCTATTTATAATTATACAAAAATGATCATTTTAAATAATTAAATATCATGGGCTTTTATTAATTAACCCAACAAGGCTTCATCTAAGCCCAAGACCACATCCATTGTTCCCACTCCTCTTAAGCCCAATTCAATTAAAATAAAACAATTAAATTAAATCTAATAATTACAAATAATTAACAAACAATTCACATAAGCATAAATACACACAATTCAAATAAACAATTTAATCAAAGCATTTCACAAAGCAAAACCCTATATCAATTCAATAAATAAAATTACAAAATATAATCTAATTAAAATAAGATAATTAATCTAAGTACTCAATTAAATAAAAACAAATCATATAAAAAATATAAAATAAAATCAATTAAACCCAATTAAATCAAATAAGTCATTTAAAAACAGGGACCTTATGTGTGCATTAGATCTGGACCATAGATGAGGTTCAGTCATCATTAAAATAATTTGGTGCGACCAAGCGCACCAGAACACACAGGGATGGCCAATAGGAGCAAGCCATCACACGCCGCGAGTACAACAGGCGCGTGTGGGCGCGTGGACGAGCCTGCCAAGGAGTGGAAGCGCGTGCAGGCACGTACAGCATGTCTATGCGTGTGTGGCGGAGCGTAGGGGCTCATACAGATGTGTTTAAGGTCCCAAGAAGTTACTGTGGAGTTCGTTGATGTTCTAGAATTGATTTCCAGCATATTAATGTTGAAATCACTCAGTAGAAGAGGTATTTTAGGTCTTTGAGGGCCATAGGATGTTACTACATTATTTAGTTGTATTTATTTGCGTAATATAATTAATTAATAATTTATTATGGAATGAGATATATATATATATATATATATATATACATATATATATGTGTGTGTGTGTGTGTTTGTGTGTGCATAGATGGTTTAATTGTTTTGATATCCCTTAATTTTATGCGCGGATTTGACCAACCCGTGTTCCGAAATTAGGGGGTATCATAGCTTGCACAGCTGGAGTATAGCCTTTTTTATTTCATAGAAAGAAGTTGCAGCCGATATAACAGAGGCAAAAAAAAAAAAAAAAAAATCACCACAAAAGTATTACAATAGTTTGTTATGATATGAATTTAACTACACAATAATTAAAGAGAATGTATCTATTTGTTATTGGTCCATATCAGTGCTGAAGATAAAGTACATTCTCATCTGTAAAGACCTAAGTATTGTCCTTAACAAAATTAGAAGAAGAATAATTACCTCGTCACCGGTGAGTATTGTTCAAAATAAACACATTTCATTCTATCATTATACCACGTCAGTGTTTTGGAGGAGATTTCGGGAGGAGACTAATAAATATTGTTCAAATTAAAATTAATGCTCCTCTACTAGCACAAGAAATGGTTCTATTGGTACAATGTCTCAGTGTTTCCAAACTTTAGTTTACTCTTCGCAAACAACCTTTTTTTCAATAGTTCAATTAAATACAAATCCATGCTCAGATAAGTCCAAGCTACCTACGTCCATTATTAACCTAAAACCTAACGCCCCTATATGGTTTGTGTAGACACTAAAATTTTAGTGGGCTTCGATTTTGACAAATGGACCCGTTAAGTATGGGCCTAATGTTTAATTAAGTTATTTAATTGGCTCAAGTTTGATCCACTTAAATTATTTAATTAGCTCAGCCCAGATGGTTAAATATAAAGGTAATTATTCTTCATAAAATATATTTTGGAATAATTATTTTTAAGGATAATTATTATAATATAACCGGCCCGGCTCAATTATTATTTTATCCTTATCAAGAGATGGCATATGTCATCATCCTATGGATCCAAGAAGCTTATAAATAGAGGCCTGGAGGAAGAAGGAGGAGGGGGACAAAAATTCAGAGTCCAGAACTCCAGAGACTTAGAAATCCAGAGAGTCAGAAATTCAGAAGGTGTAGAAATTGAGAGAATCAGAAATCCAGAGGGCCAGAAATCTAGAGGGCAAACCTGAAGGCGAAGAACACCAAACACATCCAAAGTCGTGTCGTTCTTCACCAAATTCAACAAATCCTTTCTGAAGACGAAGAACAACAAGCATATCCAAAGACGTGCCGTTCTTCCTCAAATTCAATAAAGAACACGAATTCAGAATTCAGAAATTCAGACACAAATTCAGAATTCAGAAATCCAGAAACAAAGGACACAAATTCAGAATTCAAATGTTCAGAAATTCAGACACAAATTCAGAATTCAGAAGTCCAGAAATTCAGAGACTCAGAGTCAAAGACACAAATTCAGAATCTAAACCCAAAAGCGAAGAACATCAAGCACATCCAACGACGTGCCGTTCTTCATCAAATTCCACGGTGATCAACAACAAACACATCCAACGACGTATCGTTCATCATCAAATTCCCAGTGATTCAAGAACAAGCTCGTGCAGCCCTTGGATCCAACCAACGAAAAAGAAGATCGAATCAGAGGACCATTCTTTTTGTAAAGAATATTATTACAAAGAATTGTACTCCATCTTTATAAATTAATAAAATATTTTATTTGCTCCCAATTTTGTTTTTATTTACAAACTTATAAAATTTGTGTGTACAAATTTCTGGCACGCCCGGTGGGACATCCTCTGCCTCTCATCTCTTTCTCCTATATCAAATCCTTAACAAATTCATCGTCAGATTCTATAACTTCCATTCAAACGAAGAACAAGAATACCACCAAAGACATCGCGGTCATGACGGACAACATCAATACCATCACAAAAGGTGGCAAGAAAGTTGCAACTTCATCAAGTGGTACAAACACCTCTGCAAGTTCAATGATGTGGAGCATGGTCAAATCATCCATTCTTGCCAAAAGACAGCACGATACGGTGGGAGTCAATTCTGCCAAATCTGTCAAAGTAACAACTCAAACTCATACCGCCATCACCTCGATGGGGGCAAAAAGGAAGGTTTCTACAACCTCAAAGGTTACTCCAGTCACAAGTTCAAGTTCCACCTCGCTGGGGGCAAGGAGGAAGGTTCCTACAACCTCAAAGGTTGCTCCAGTCACAAGTTCAAGGCTAGTCCACCCAAGGCCAAAGATTTTTTCTGACTCTATCACTATGCCAGTCATGATGACGAGTACTACCTCGTATGAAGAACAATTGACGACTATGGCCTGTGCAATTGAAATATTACAACACACTCTCAAGGAGCAAGATCTGAGAATTGCCTCGCTGACAGAAAAGTTAAAATTACGTGACGACAATGCTGAGTCAAGCAAAGGCTGAATTCCTCATTCTAACTCCATGCCAGAGAACACTCTAATTGATAATCAAAATGACGTGTACGCTAATCCAACAATTGATGCTGCCTCTGTCACCTTACTTTCTTTCCAACAACTTCAAGACATGATAGTGAATTGCATAAGAGAATAATACAATGGCGTCCCTCAAAGTGTTTACATGTACTCAAAGCCTTACATATAAAGAATTGACATTTTAAAAATGCCGATTGGGTATCAACCTCCAAAGCTTCAACAGTTTTACGGAAAAGACAATCCTAAGCAACATGTCGCACACTTTGTAGAGACTTACGGCAATGCTGGTACAGACGGAGATCTCCTTGTTAAGCAATTCGTTCGTTCCCTCTAAGGGAATGCATTTGATTGGTACACAGACCTCAAAGCTAGAGGTATTGACAGTTGGGAGCAGATGGAACGAGAATTTCTCAACCGTTTCTATAGCACTCATCGTACTGTTAGTATGTTGGAGCTTACAAATATAAAACAAATGAAGAGTGAACCCGTGGTTAACTACATCAACTGTTGGCGAGCTCTAAGTCTTAACTGCAAGGATCGTTTGTCTGAAATTT